GCGATGCCTGTCGATACTGGTGTGTTAGATGCAGTGCACGCAGATGGTTTGGATGACGCTCACGCAATATTGAAGCCGTTCCTAGTGGATTTGCGGGGTCCCCGATCGTCCGGCCCGGATCTTGCCGTCTCGCTTGATTCCCAGCATTTGTGGGCAAAGCTGGCTTATGTCTGGAGGCGCTTTAGTCGCGCAAATGAAGGTTTCGTCGGCTATTTTTTGTGGTGGATTGCTCCGTTATCTGCACTCAGTGGGTGGCACCATAAGAGTGAGACCGACAAGGTGGCGCAGCGGCAGCAATTACGGGGGTCGTGCTGAATCTTCGACAATGCCGTCGACAAAAAGAGTGAGAATATTCCTGTCGATTTGACGCGAGTTCCGTTGGAGTTGCTGACCTACAAGAACAATCTCGAGGCAATGGTGTCTCAGAAACAACTTTATTCTCGTGGTCCTCAGGCTGCAACAGTCCTTGCGGGTTTTCTTCATGGACCCGTTCGCCCAACCAGCTGCGGCACTTGGGTCCAACAGAGCGCGACCTTTTCTGCGGCACCTTGCCAGGTGAGGGAACACCGTATAGACGAATTGAGGGAGTCACTAAAGAGCAAGGAGCGTCAGGTACAGCGCATTACTAAGGTGAACACAGAGTGGGGGCTTCAAGAACGAGAGGCTGTTGCCAAGATTGAACAATCTCATGCTGAGCAGTTGAGCTCACTTGTAGGTGCAATAGGTGGTATTGACGCACAGATCGAAAGCGCATTGGCGGAGCAGCAAGCTTTGTATCAGAGCACGATGCAGGCGACGAGGCGCACAATCGACACCGTGGACAAGGTGACAGACAAGGGCCGTATGGTGTCGGGCTACCTCGATCGTTATGAGAAGGGCCACGTATTTACTTCGCGATGGTTACAGTATTTCTACGTGCTGAAGCATGCGACGCTTACATGCTACAAGTCGAAGAGCGAGTACGAAGAACGTGGACCTCCGCTTGAGCAGCCTGTTAGCATTAGTGGCTACAGCGTCGTACGCAGTCGAACTGATGAACTCAAGATCAAATTGGTTCCACCCGGTGCAAGCCGTCGAATGTATCGCTTTCGCGCCCCTGCCAGCGTAGGCCGTGAAACGTGGATAAAGCGATTTACAGAGGCCACACAGCTCACAAGCCGATAACGCATTCGTGCTGTACCACTCGGAGGGTGAGGATCGTTCGTGCGAAGATACGAAATAAATGTCGTTTCTTGTGATCATTTGCTGGGAGGTTAGCCCTCGCCAAGCGAGCAAATGACTCTTCGAACTTCCGATGTTGGATATTGTTTACTACTTTTTTAGGTCGAGAAAGGAGACAACGTGGGTGCACAGGTCCCAAGAAGTCGTCGCTCGTGGAACAACACTTGCTTGTTCGTTCGCTTCGCAAACAAAAAAAGCAAGCGCCGCGGCCTCGATACTCACAGCCACGTGCTCCAGCTCAACAAGAGGTCGTCGTTATGCCCGGTATTGAACAGCTTGGACGGAGACCCACTACTGAAGTTGCAGCATCTGGAGAAAGTTTGTGCAGGTATCACATCCAATTGATGGACTCGACACTTTGTCGGGAAGCTTACGCAGCCAATGCATCTCGACGTCACTAAGCACCTTATCAAATGGACATATCTGATGGTGGGTCTTCTGCGCTATAAGCAAAGGGCGCGAAATGCTGTGGCTAAGCAAAGACGGTTGTTATAGCTTTGCACTGACTGCAGCAGTTCGTGGCTCGAAGAACAACTCAGTCGCGGATACACATGCGTGGTCTTTTTACAAGTGAGAGCGTTGCATTGTTCTTCGGAGACGGCGGCAAGACTAGAATCACTGGCTTGACGCACCTCGTTCAGCAAGGAGGTGGATGTACTTGTTTGTGCGACTGACGCTCGGCACCACACCTTAGCAGTTCTTGTCGACTTGAGTGCCCTTGAACTTTGTGATCGATCCATTTGAACTACGACCCATCCAAGGACTTTCGACAGCATCAGCAACTATCCTACAATATCAATAAGCACGTGCAACTTCAGATTGATTCTTGCTCTCTCGTACAAGAACTTATGTGGAGCCTCAGCTATGCAATTCATGAATGAGAATACAGTCGTAACAACAGCGAGCGCTTGATGGAGCATGCCTCAACACAGCAGACATTCGTAGCCCGCTTACGACCACGAGCTAACAGCTCCGTTGTCCCGCGTCTGAACGCCCCGCTATCCTGCCGCCTAGTGGTTGTTCTTCCACACCAGGTACCGCGTGTCACCCAGCTTACGCGGACTGAGCTTGTGCTTGGCAAAGAATAGAATGGCCAGCACCATGCAGAGCGCACCAACGATGATGTACGCGATACCGAGAAACGGGTTTCGACCACCAAACCATGACGTCGTCGAAATCACGATCGACTTCTTGCCCTCAAACGTGCTTACCACAAAGTCTGACAGAACGCAGAAACAAACAAGCCGTCATTCAGAAACCCGTCCTCCCACAAGCCAAACGGATAACACGAAAAACGTACTGCTGGAGACCAAAAACTCGAGTTCCGTGCCCGCCGGCAGATCAGTATCAATGCGGCCGTATAGCTTTCGAAAGCTCGGTAGACCGGCCGTACGCATCCAAACGATAAAGTGCTCATCTTGGACGCCAAACGCAGGTGCATTAGTCGTCCATGCTGTTTTGTTCGCAATGGGTGCTTGACCCTTAAACATAGGAACGATGTAGCGGTAGCGCGGATTCTGCCAAATCATCATGGTATTGTCAGGATCCGCAAGAGCACCCAAGTCAATGTTCTTGAACTTGGTCTCGACGTCCGACTTCCACGCGATGCCCGTCTGGTCCACCAAGTTCACCAGCGTCTTGCCTTGGTACGTATCGTTCTGGTAGTACGTACGGCCGCCCGTCTCCAGCCGGTTCACCCAGTAAATGTCATTGAACAAACTGTTGGCGATCAATCCGCACGGCATGAGTCTGTAGTTCGTCTCGTTGTTGCCAATTGGCGTCGCCGCCGTCGAGTTGTACTTCGAAACTCCTACTCCAGATGTCGTCAGCGGCGAGCAGTCGCTGGTACTGGCCGTAGCATCTCCACGAAGCTGTGCATCGCTCCGACTCTGCACGTAGCGACGATGGTTCTGGTAGAAATTGTCCAGCTGGTAGTACAAGTACACGGGCGCGCGCATCTCTTGCCCGATCGTGAAAATGATGCGGCAGCCACGTTCGTCCACGTCAAACAGATCACCCTGGCTCTCTTCGCTCATGTAGCAGCCACTACCAATGTCCACAACGTTCGATGATGGCGTCGTGTCGGCTCCATCATACTGGATCGAGTATTCCACGACCTGTTACACACAATACCTCTCATCGTTAGTATACCCTGCTACTACATAATCCTGTCAAAATGAATATCACGCCGTACATTGTCCGACTCGGTGTGCAGCACGACCCCAATGGGAATGAAAATGAGCCCGACGACCGCAAACGTGCCAATGACCCAGTTGGGCGTGAGGATCGGCTGCCACGCCTTGAGCTTCTGCTGCTTGAACGGCGTGTCTGCAGTCAACCAACAAGTGCAGCGCTCAGTCTCCGTCTCTCGACAGCCACCAACCAGCACCGTCAGTAGCGACACATACACATACACACACCCTTCGGGTTTCCTCGACTTCTCTTCCATGATCCACAGCGCCGCGTCTCACCGATTGCTCTCTGTCTCCAACTGCTCCGTCGCCTTCTGCCTTCTGTCACTGCCTTTGGTGTATTCGCTTCGCCTGATTGTGGCTGCCTCGCGCGCTGGTATTAATAATAGAGAAGGGGGGAGCGGGTGTCGTGTGAGTCTGACTCGTTCTCAAGACGGTCGATCATTGGTCGAAAGTCGATCCTCTCTGCCCAGCGCAAGCAAACGAAGCTGCTGCCTCCGCACGACATCCGCAGGAAGAATCGGATCTGCTTGTATCCAGCTTTTCTGCACTCGATTTCATCCAATCAGCTGCATGACCAGCTGCTCGGGATTTCCACCACTGCCATGTCTCGATTTGACCCGAGTTTGAGCGAATCCAGACAGTCCGTCCGTCCGTCCGTCCCTGCGACATCAACATGGCTACATTTGCAGCATTGACAGCAAACACGCCACCGTCTGGCCACGCACCGAGCCGCTGCTGCCCATGAGCTACTACCGCGACCGCGGCGACCGCTTTGCGGGCTCGTCCGCCAGTCGATACGGCGCAGACCGGAGCCGAGATCCGCCTCGTGACCAGCCGCGGGACCGAGACGCCTACCGTCGGGACGGGGGCCGTAACCGCGACGCGCCACTTCGTTATGAGTCCAGCACGAGCCACAGCAGTCGCGACGGGGGCCGAGACGTGGAAACTGGCGCGCTGTCGGATCCACGAGACGAGTGCCAACCCAAAGCGTCGGGCGCGTGGGATCCCGCGAAAGAGGCGCTGGCGGACCCGACGTGGGCGCGCATCTACATCTCGAACCTCCCGTCGGACGCGACGAGCGACGAGCTCCAAGGAATGTTTGGGGCCATTGGTATTGTCGCTCGCGAGAAGCAGAAGCGCGGGTTCAAAGACCAGTGGCCTTTCAAGATCAAGATTTACACGGACGCCGATGGACAGCCAAAAGGGGACGCGGTCCTCACGTACGAAGACGCGAACGCAGCGCGCACGGCGCCCGAGTTCTTTAACGGTCAGTCTGCCTTGTGGTGCTAGTGTATGGGTTGTTGGAAAGGACGGGCGAAACTGATGTAGGCGTGTGTTGCTTATGGTGCACAGGTACAGACGTTCGTGGCAATACTATCAAGGTGGAACTAGCGGGCAAGCCTGAACCACCCGTAGGTGGATGGTACGGAGGTGGAGGTGGCGGCGGTGGCCGTCGTGGTGGAGGACGCTCTGGAGGGGGAGACCGGTACGGCGGCGGCGGTCGTGGAGGTGGTGGTGGTGGTGGTGGCTACAGTCGGTACGGAGGGAATGGAGGAGGAGGAGGAGGCGGCGGCGACCGCGACTTTCGAGACCGCGCGGACCGTCGCTCGCGTCCGTACTGACTTGTGTCGAGATTAGTAGGTAGGTGCCCATAGTGTAAGCAGCAGCCGCAGCCGCAGTAGCAGTAGCAGCGCAGTCGTCCAACAGTGTGATGGAACCACAGCTCCGTGTGTGTCAGCGTTTGATCAAGTCCCTGTGATTGGCGCAATCAGGTCGCTCGCGAGCCAATCACAGCTCAGGAGGTCCAACCGCAGTCAGTCATCGGTCGGTCGGACTGCCTCATGGGCCTGTTTAACCTGCTCGCGCTCGCCGTCGAGACGTCCGTGCTGGGCGTGTACGTCGTGGTCCCGCTCGTGTCGTCAAATGGCTACACCATCCTGGCATCGGACCTGCGCTCTGCGCTGCAGTTCCACCAGTCGCTGGCCCTGCAGGCGCTGTTGTCGTTGCTCCGTCTGCTCTTCTTTGTCTACATCCGACGGCGCAACAAGCGTGTGCCGTCCACGCGGTGCTTTGTGTTCAGCGTGTCGCTTGTCGAAGTGGTGGGTTGTGCTCTAGGCTCGCTGCAGCCGCTGCTGTATCTGGATGGCAGGCGCATCGACACGTTCTCCAAGTACCGTCGAGTGGCCTGGGGCGGCCTTTACATTGTTGCGCTCGGCTTGATGGCGATGGTAAGCACGGCACTCCAGATGGGTTACATTTTGCAACTGAACAAGAGTCGAGGACGCCTGTCCGACGACAAGCTACTGAGGGACGTGACGGGCGAGACGCCGCGGGCCAAGTGGAGGTCCAAGTGGGCCACGCTCGGCAAGCAACTGGCTGGGCGGCGAAAGAGCAAGGACCCAACGTTCGAAGCGATGGTGAGTCTATATGCTCATCAAGAGGGAGCTGTGGATCAACTGGTAGTGTCTTCGGATCGAGACGAAGGTGACTTTGAGTTTTACCTGCCGCAATTGTGCGGGTTTCTGCTTCTGGGAGCATTTCTCCGATCGCCGCAGTTGTACGCAATGTTGCTGCGTAAATGCAGTGTGTAAGTGGCAGTAAATGGTGCTAGGAGGTAGAGGTTGAGGAGCTGACGAGTGCGATTGGTGATAGGTCGCACGTGTTTGCGCACAAGATGCTGTGGTACTTGCAGTCGTACTGTCTTGAAAACCCGGCGTTCGTCACGGAAAGTGATGTGCAGCGGGTGCAGAGGCTGATCAAAGATGTAGCGGAGTGCGGTACCGTACCGGCAGTGGCGTCTGCTTGCCCGCCGAGCCCAGCAAACTCGGAGCACTACCAGCTGTGTGTAGACCGCGGGTCGGACGGACTAGAAAACTCGCGAGAAGATGAAGCGCTGTTGCCGGGAATGCGGGATGACCACTACGCTACTTTCGAGGAGACGAACGATTTCGAGCAAAAGCTGACAAGCTCTCTGGCACCCACCCTGCCCCGTGTCTCTGGTACTGAGCCGTTTGAGCTTGAAACCGCATTTTTGTGCTCTTTGGCAAACGTGTCGTCAAATTTGCGTGCGGTAGCGTACAACTGTCGCAACGACATGGTACGTCATGTCATGGTTTGGCAAAGCTTGTGCAAGTGCGTATATTGCTACACTTAACGTACTTACTGTGTGTTTATGTTTTCTGTATAGCTTCGTGTCTGGCTACAAGACCTGGAAACTCAGTATTTGCCAAGCAACTCGCTTTACCTGCCGGTTGGGAACTCCTACCACCGGCTCAAGCACATCCACGTCGACGAAAGTTTTACTTTTTCGACACGGGAACGTGTACCTTTTCTATTGTGCGCTGAGGTTGTGGACTACCCGTCTCCTCAACAAGAACATGCAGCTCGGAACAATCGCCGCCGCAGTGTGTTTAATGGCCGGCGCTTTACGCTTGGTCTATGGGACACTAGCGCAAGTCCAGACATGACGTCAACTTGCGCATGTGCGGAGCGCACGCCGTTGATGTCCCCAGACGCTTCCAAGCTGGGTTTTTGGAGTGAGTCGCGCGTACTTAACAGCCCAACCAGACTCCGATCGTTTTCACACCACATCTCTAACAAAATGGCGCAACCAACAGAGCTGTTGCATGGACTGCTTGACTCGCTTGTCGGTAAGAACTCAGGGGGTAAGAACTACGACTCAAAGGATGAGGCGTTGTTGAACGAGGAGCAAGGTGACGAGTATGATGAGGATACGACTCGCTCCTTTCGCCATGCGCCTGCAAGAAGCCAGAGTCAGCCATCTTTTGACAGCACACGTGCGTTCTCGAAGCAAACAGGATCTGTTGACACGCGTACACCAGGGCTCCAGCTCGTGACTTCTCCATGCGCTGTGGCTGTCACCGAAGACGTTGGTGTGGGTGATCCGGTGACCAGTATCAGCGGTCGGTGGTCACCAGATTCGGATACAGCACAGTCGCCTCGGTCGGAAAGCTCGGCGTGCTCAGCTCATGATCTTGTACGCCTTGACAGTACAGACCAGTTTTTGCAGGATCTGTCCGAGCGTGACTCAAAGCTTGAGGAAGCTGAGAAAGCCGAGGACACGAGCTTGCTTTCTGAAACGTTTCACCAGACTGTGGGAGGCGAGCCGCCCTGTGTAGTATTCAAGGAGCGCTGGGCGGACAAGGAACGCCGTGTTCAAGCCACGTCGCCGCATGGACAGCTTCCGGGCTGGCGATTGTTGCCTGTGATTGTCAAAAGCGACGACGATCTCCGTCAAGAGCAGTTGGCGTTGCAACTGATTCGTCAGTTTGCAAAGGTGTTTGAAGAATTCAAGGTGCCTGTGTTCATCCGACCGTACGATGTGATTGCTATATCCGCTACTTCGGGACTAGTGGAAGCGATTTCTGACACTATATCAATCGACTCGCTGAAACGCAACGATCGCGAATTCACGACGCTGTTGAACTTTTTCACGAGGCATTTTGGCGATCCTGGTACGCCTGATTTTAATCGAGCTCGATCAAACTTTGTGAGCAGCATGGCTGGTTATGCGATCGTGTGCTATCTGCTTCAGATTAAAGACCGCCACAACGGCAACATTTTGCTGGACGCTGAGGGCCATATCATCCATATTGACTTCGGCTTTATTCTGGCCAACAATCCGGGCAACATGGCATTTGAGCAGGCTCCTTTCAAACTGACGGCTGACTTTGTGGAGCTTATGGGTGGTCCACGTTCTACGCATTTTCGTCGATTTCGATCCCTTTGCGTGCGGTCATTCCTTGTCGCACGGAAGTATCGCCACCGATTCGTTTTGCTTGTGGAGATGATGCTGCATGGCAACGAACACCTCCCGTGTTTTGCCGGGGACCCTAAGTTCACGGTCGAGCGCCTCGCTGCACGCTTTCAGCCAGAGTTGGATATCAACTCTTGCGAGGACTTTGTGCATGAACTCATCGATGCATCACTGGACAACTGGCGCACACGCTGGTATGACAAGTACCAGCGCTGGATCGTTGGTGTGTTTTAATTGAGCGGGCATGACGTCGAGGGATGATTGAGCGGGCACTATTTCGTTTTCAGGTAAGCTTACGAATGGAAAAGTGAGCTACGAATTGTTGTAGGAGCTAGAGATAAGGCGCGCAAGAATAGGCCAGAGAGCGAGCACTTCCAGATCGGACCACTTTATAGCACTTGCGGCATTTTTTTTACTTCAGACCTTTGTCTCAATCGATTGTTACTATCGAACAGTTCAGATTGTTGCAGGGTACCGCCAATACTTGGCGCAATGGGCGTTGGACAACTGGGCGAAAGAATTATGCATCAAAGCGCAAGCTACGTCCAAGATAAAGCCAAAGTGCAAGGGCGCATGTGGACACCCACAACCTGTTGATCCGTTTCAACTGTGTTATATGTGGCCTATAGACGTTAAGGGTTGCGCTAGCGTCAAATGCCTGAATGCGTAAAATAGAAAGTCCAGTCATTATAACACTGGTTTTAAACAGTCGCTGGCGTTGATTCGTTGTCGAAGATGTGGAATATACACGTATGTGATGCTATCGAGGGCGCGTTGTTCACGACTACACACTGAAAGAGTCATCGCCCGTCCTTCCAGTTGAAATTGACTGACGTCGAAGCTTGTGCACTTGGACGCTGGAGGAGATTTCATCTGCAACTTCATGCATGCCGTCTTTTCTACGTGCAGATAGCTCACAGTTAGAGGGACCACGGTTAAAGGACCAACACAGTTTTAAAACCGCATTTTACTGGACAAAAAAACACATACAAATTTTAAGTGTATTTTTTCTATCGCACAGCTATTAAACAAAAGAACGTAGTGACGCCCGCCACCCATCCCATTCTCCCCACGCAAGGACAATTCGCAATTTCCGAACACCTCCGCAGACAAACACGACGTACGAATGGCGCCTCGAACGGACCTTTCCTTCGTCCAGAAGAGGAGCTCTACAGACACACCAGCGAGAGAACCCTGTACTCACACAAGCCGATCTCTGTCGATGGGCGCTGGGAGAGTTTGGAGTCCGTGTTGCACGGTCCACGATCAGCAGGATTCTGAGCGAGGACATTCCTGTCACCCTCAATCCTAGAGCCAAACGGCAGCAGAAGGGCAGACATGCCGAGGTGGAGAAAGCGCTGTTCCATTTCGTGCTCGACACTCAAAGTAAAGTCACGGTGACCGACTTCATCCTCCACCAGAAGGCCAATCAACTGCTCAAGGACGCAGGTGTAACGACGACGCTCTCGCTTTTGTGGGTGTCGAGGTTCAAAGCCCGACACGGCATCAAGTCTTACCGGCTGCATGGCGAGGCGGCCCCAGTCGAGCTAGAGACCCTTCACCAGCGGCGCCAGGAACTCCAGACCCTTCTCGACGGCTACGCGGCGTGCGAAGTTTTCAATATGGATGAAACCGGTCTATTTTATCGCATGATGCCTTCGCGGGCTCTGGAAACGATGCCTTTGAGTGGCAAGAAGAGAGATGAGTCGCGCATTTCGATAGGGCTATGCTCCAATATGGATGGGACTGAGAAACTGGACCCTATCGTGATCAACAAGTCCCTCAACCCCCATTGCTTCAAAGCCATCGACTTTTCCAAGCTACCCGTCCACTTCCATGCACAAGCAAAGGCATGGATGACTGGCGGCATCTTTGCAAATTGGTTGAAAGCATTCAATCTCAAAATGAGTGGGCGAAAAGTTCTTCTGCAGCTCGACAACGCGACCTCATATGTCAATTTGGAGCTCTCAAACGTACACATTCACTTTCTTCCGCCAAATACCACCTCCCATTTGCATCCGATGGACGCGGGCATCATTCGCAACTTCAAGCTCAAGTACAATGCCCAATTCGTGCAGTGGCTACTGGACATCGTGACGTCAGGGACGGAGGACAAGAAGCTTGACGTTCTTAGCGCAATCCGTATGGTGGTAAAATCGTGGGCTGAGGTGAGCCCTAAAACGATTCGACACGGTTGGATCCACACCGGAATCGTGTCGGGAGTTATGGCGGCAGTGCTCAGTAGGCAAGATGAGCCGGTCCGTCCCAATGATCTCTTAATTTTGGCTAATCTAATCGACAAAATATCCTTATCTGATGGAATGGATGCAGACGACTATCTGGAGAGTGACAACAACCTGGAAGAATGGGAATCAGAATCTGATGCAACTGCCACCTCTGAGCCATTTTCGCGTGATGACGACAGCGACGGAGACAAAAATTACATCTTCACTCATCGCGACGCGCTGAATGCTGCAATACAATATTATACGTACCTATTCGCACACAAGATCGATATTGCACACAAGATTGATATTGTGGGGATGCAACTGCTGACCGAGAAATGCCGCCAACAGCTTCAACAGAGCATGTACCAGCAGCAAATCACCGATTATTTCTCGAAAGAGTAAGCTCGGTGGCCATACTGAAACTAACAGCACTTACTTAATAGCACGCAAAAATGGAACTGATATTTAATATATTCAATCACTTAGATTTCTACATTTTTCTTTATATCTTACATTCCTAGAAGCTTATTCCAATTATCCAATTCCTATAGAATATTCCTAAAGATTTTATCCAATCATATTCCAATAGAAACGTAGTGGTCCCTTGAAGTTGATTTCGATCTTAAGGACACAGCGAAATTTTATGGACAAATCGCGCTCTCTAACTGTGAGTTATCTGTATCAGCAAACATTATTACCATTCAAGTACTTGATTGGCAACTTTAACGAGTTTAGCAACCTGTATAATCTGAATGCTCCCACTTTTACCACCGTTTATGACTACCAGCGTCCCGAAATTCATCTCTGCGTCGGGCTTGTCCGTACAATCTCCTTCTCCTCCCCACTCAATTGAAAATTCCAATATCGCCGGTAGCTTCTGCGATCGTCCGAAACGAGTCAGAAGCTGGTTCGGCTGAGGGGGCACTAGAGTGGCCTCTATGGCAGAAAAACCACGAGACCGGTCGCGTTTCTGTGTGATCAAAATGGGCTCGACCTTACGATTTTCTTCACAGGACGATCCAATGTTCAAGGTTTCACACACTCCGAAGTAGTTTATCAACGATCAGAACGGAAAGTATCACCCGTTAAGCGTAAATGCGCCTCTTCTTTCGTCCATCGATGAGCTACTGAGAAATAAATGTTGTTTGTTATCAGCGAATACTGCTGCTGACCGAATATTGGAAACACGCTTGTCCTCTGCGAGGAGTACACAGACCTCATTGACGATGCCACCGCACACACATCACAGATACCGTTTCGTTATTGGTGAACAACGTGCAATCAAATAAACACCTGCTGTCACCATAGTAGCAGCATGATTTATAGCTGAAACTGGTGTAGGACCTTCCATAGCATCAGGTGCCACAAATGTAAAAAAATTTAAGCAGATTTACCCATAGGGTTGGCAAATGAGCTATACCCAACGTTGACTTC